GTGGGTGTGGAGTGTGGGTGTGAGGGGGTGGGTGGGCGTGGATGTGAGTGTGGGTGTGGTTGTGTCGGTATGAGTGAGGATCTTCTCTTCATCCACTCACACCCACACCCTCAACATGTGAAAAAAGCGATATCTCATTTTGCTGAAGAAAACACATTTATATAAATGTGTTTTTCTTCAGGAAAATGAGATATCGCTTTTTTCACATGTTGAGACCCTATTTCAATTTTTTTTAAAATTCATCTATGAAAATGAGTAAATAGCTTGTCTTCTACAGAATTTGACGCGCTTTCTAATGATGCCCTTGCAAAAGAAATTACATGCTTTTATAAAGTAAAACCAGAGGATTTTCTGACGAGGGCAGACACTTCATATAAGTTCTGGAGAATAAAATATTTTATCCCAAATACTAATGCCTGCAAATCTTTTGTGGAAACATATGTAGTATATGCAACTCTTCATGCTCTATCCAATGGTATCCTCCAAATTCAATTATGTTGCACGAAAGAAAAGAAAAAATATTTTTTGAGATTCAAATTTTGCACCATTTAATTCCTTGAACCATAGAAAACTTAAACTAGTCTTGTTCAATCTACTTTTGTTTAGCATATAGCTGCATGTCTTCTCTTTCGAATGGATCCTGAAAAGGACCATTTGAGTTCATAAAGTTTGAATTAATTAAATATTTTCATATCATGGAGAGGGGGGCCTTATAATTATGAGACACAGTGGTTCAAATTTTTCCCAATTTTTTCATTAATGGTAATCGACCGAATTGAAGCTAATATAACAATTGATAGACTACTACTAGGTGTCTATCGATATGACATTAGATTGGAAACGAAACTCTCTTTAGTGAAAGAAATCTTTATTTTTGTCGAAATTTAATAGGGGTTTTATAATTATGCGACACCCTGTATATCAAAACTGGCAACGGCAGAATGGAAAAATTTATACTCGTCTAACGAATATACAAAAGGGCAAAAGAGAACAATAAAAAACATCACATATATGTATGAATCGAACACACTACTGGTAACTGTATTCGATAAGTCATAATCGAAACGAGAGAAGAACGTCATCAGAGCTACAAGAAATAAAAAAACTATTAACAAAAAATTAAGAGTAACTGAAATTTCCATAAATCACATGCTTCATTTTTTTGCAACTTCAATCTGCAATAACCTTAACCAGTCTTACTATAGAGAAAAATGCATATCACACATATATATCCACCATCCTTCCAGATATACAGAATAAACTAAAAGAAAAAGAAATCCATTATTTTAATCATACTATACCAATACATAGCCATCATATACTAAAGTTATCCTTACGCCACATTTATCAACACCCAAACAAACACCTCAATGACTCTAGCTTCAACTTCGCAAACAAATGTATCCCACACAATAGCATATAATTCTTCTACAACACCTCTCTATACCCGTCTTAAAGACTACATTAAGATATAAATTTCAACTCCTGGCTAGTTATTGATATACTCGTTATACACATATTAGTTTTTGTTATTTATTGTGCAATATCCATCTTATAGTCATTGTTGTATTAAATAAATCTTCTGGGGTAAGGTTACAAGTGATATCTTATAGTGCTGATGATGACCGTACAAAATTAAAAGTGGTCGAAAGTTTCACAAAAAACGCCTAGTAAAATTGATATTAAACTGCATTATATTTTTCATTGTTATTGAATATTACTATTGTTATTATACGTATTTAACGTTTACTTTCATAGAATAGCACAGATTCTGCGAAAATTGTTATTTCTTAAGAAGATAGTTTTACAGTTCCAGATAGTATCAATAATTAGTTTAATACTAAATGAAATCGAGTTGAAAAATTGACCCGCCGCTCAGCCAAACTCATTATTTATTAGATGATAGAAGATTATTGATAACTAACAGAAATTATTAATCTGTTTCTTTTCAAAGATAACTGATTATGCCCCTAAAGTCCATGGTTAACGAGCTTTCATTTAGTATAAAACGAAATGTTGTTGCTATCGGTAATGAAAGAGACTTATGGTTCTTTACAAACATTCTTATCCACTGTACTGAGAAATCAATAGTGATGACTTGATCTTCCCATTGTAGTAAAGAGAATTCTATTGATCGTCCAACATCAAGGTCTTATTTGTTGATATATTACCAGAATCGTTAGATTGAAATTCCCATATTAAAAATCAATAAATCTTGTTTTGAAAGCATCATTCGCTCTTCAGTTATTTTCACATGATTCACTTCGCCTCAAGGTTACATTCGTCTACAATAACGTACCAGAGAAAATGAAACACAAATATTTTCTCATTCACACTCATTGATATTAAGTAGAAGAACAAGAGCGTTGTTTTTTCTAACTCTGGAAGGTAAATGTAAGATTAAAAAAGTAATGCAGACAGGAGTCTTTCTCTGATCCTTAAGAAATCAATGAAATTATACATAGAAATATTGTGTCATTGGTCATTAATATTTGTTCTCTGCTTCTCTTCTCACTCAGATAAGGATAAAATGTAACTAACTCTCGGCTCAATTAGTGCAAAATGATTAAAAGAATAACTTGTTAATTGATGAATAACAGATGAATACGTTTCCCACCGGCAATGTAAAACACGATTGAAAATAAAACATAGGAGTATCGAGCTGCAGCGAAGAAAATTTCTGTTTTACAACGAAAATAAAACAAAAATATTTTCTCCGTTGCAGTTCTATACTCTTTCGTTTTATATTTTATTCAAACTACAGTATCATCTAATTATGATTTATGGTGGCATTTATGAATCGATCTAATAAGTTCAGATTGATTCGTAACCTTTCAGTACGACGATTGCCAGAAAATCGATCTGGTATTACTCTGATTTGGCTTGAAAATACATTGTCTTCATCATGTGATGACAATCAGATGCGATTGCATAGTTTTAGCAATCAATGTTTTATTGTTTATTATTCAAGTATACGAAAATGTGTTAAATACTTGAAGCGAACTCGATCACGTGAATATGTCATTGTTATTATTGTGTCTTATCCAATGGAAACAATTCAACGCGTCATTCATCGATTTCAACAATTTGGTGTTATACAAACAATGTTCGTTATTTATTCAGATGGAGATACAAATAATCATTTGTCCTTAATAACCGATAATCTTCATGTTTTTCGAACTCAAGAATCCATGTTTGAGCTTTTGGAAAAACGAATTGAAGAAATTGAGGAACAAAACTTGAATGGTGGTTTATTTACAACATTCTATCGAAAGGAAAAATCTTTGAAAGATGTTCGGGAAGATTTGCCAACATTTGTTTGGACTCACACACTTAAAGGTTAGTGCTTCAAAAATGGTGATTCACAATCATTCATATCATACATTTAGTTCAATTGATGAGTATGCCTCGTGACTCTCTTGAAGCCAAACGTCAAATGTTAAGTGAATGTCGAGCTTATTATCGAAATGATGCTATCCAATTAGCCCAAATTGATGAATTTCAATGCAAATATCAATCAAAAGATGCCATTCGTTGGTACACAAAACCTGGATTTCTATTTTGTCTAGTTAATAAAGCTCTACGTAGTCAAGATATTTGGGTTTTTTATAAATTTCGTTATTTTATTATTGATTTATGCTGTTGTTTGGAGCAAGTTTCCAGTTCACAATCTTTTTCATCGATTCGTCTTTATCGTGGAACAAAACTCAATCGAGACGAACTTGAACAACTTCAAGTTGGTTGTCTTATATCAACGAATGGATTTTTTTCATGTTCATCTGATCGTAATGTAGCCGAAATGTTTATTGGTATTGATCTTATGACTGATAGATCATCAAGTCACAATCGAGATGCATGGCAACAATTCGTATTATTTATTATCGATGTCGATCGTAGAATATCCACGAATACTGTTGTAGCAGATGTTAGTCATGAAAGTGATATACCAGATGAAAACGAAATGATTTTTAACTTCGGATCGACCTTCATTATCAATGATATATGTTTCGATAATGATAAATGCATATGGTTGATTCAAATGAGTTCATCTTCGGACAATGCTCGAATCAATGATGGATACGAGAAATATACTCGTATACGTCTTCAACACATTAATCCAACTATCATGTTTGGTCATGTCTTATGTTTTATTGGCCGTGATTTTAGTCAATCGATGAATTATTTTCACCGTTTACTGAGAACATTACCCATTGATCATATCGAACGACCGAATATTTATTATAATTTAGGTCGCATTTATCGATATATAGAGAAATTCGACAAATCTCTCAATTGTTTTCGTTGCGCTCGATTACTCGTTCGTCGTCTATTACCAGAGAGAATGTTTGATTATTGTCGTATTTTGGGTGGAATGGGTACTGTGTATTCACACTTGGGAGATACGGAATTGGCATTAAAATTGCTTAGACAAGTTTTAGTACTTCAGAAGAAATCATTCCCGGAAAACCATACAGAAATGGCATTTCATTTGAAACGCCTAGGTCATGCTTATTTCAAAGCCAAACAATATAGCCATGCATTTTCGATTCTTACTAGTGCTTCGAAATTTTTCCAGACGAAAATGCATATTGACCACCAAGAATACGCTCGGACTTTGCATACAATGGGTTTAGTACATCGTGCTCTGGGTGACGATAAAAAAGCATTAATCTATTTTCAACAAGCATTGCAAAAACAACATTCATTACTTGCTAAAGATAATCCTTATCTGGCATCTACTTATTATCAACTTAGTCTCATACATAACGACCGTAGTGAATCTGAAATTGCACTAGATTACGTTAAAAAATCCTTAAGTATACAATTGATCAAATTGCCACATAATCATTCCGAACTGAAACTATCAAGGGAACTTTTGCAACGCCTTCAGCAATCCCAATAAATGTTTCAAATTATTTTATCTCATCGAGATTAGAGTTCACGTGTGTCTGTTAGTTTGAAGAAACTTCTTCGTATTTAATAATTATTCTCATGTGAATTAAACCTCCATCCTAAATAATATCATAGTTATGCTCGTATTTCTATAGTCAAAATATAGACAGAAATTATTGAAATGGTTATTTCGTTAATGTGTTCAGAATAATCGATAGACCGCTACTTTCTCATTCAGTTCTTTAGAGATAACTCATTTAAAACAGAGAATGAACGATGAACAATGAAGTTGATCATGGATAAGTAAATGTGAAAGATGATTGTTTCATAAAAGATGTGTGTCCTTAGTACCATATACTAAGACGTGTACACCAGGAATTTTTAGTAAGATTGAATATACTCCTTGAAAATCAACAAGTAGGATATTCAAAGACAAGATTTAATTGTTTCTTCAAAGAATTTGGTCCTAGATGAAGCTAACATTTCTTGTTGATAAATTCAAATCGAATTCGAAGAGTATTACAATATAGACTACTTAAATTTTCCGATTTCATCAAGTCAATGAAGAGAAAGCAATGAATTCGAGTAAATTAGCAATAGGATCACATGTTCGAATGAATCTTTTTTCTTTACATCGATTACATTATGACTGAATATTCCGTTTATCTCATCTTCTGCAAACTATAGTGCCTTCATGTGACAATACTGAGTGTTGTTAAGGCGTTTATAGGGATGTAATATTGATAAATAGGGTGTGGGTGTGGGTGTGGGTGTGAGTGTGGGTATGGGTGTGGGGTATGGGTGTGGGTGTGTGGGTGTGGGTGCAGGTGTGTGAGTGTGGCTGTGTGGGCGTAGGTATGGGTGGAAGATGCGCGCTGTGGGGTTGTTCTACTCTTCGACAGCACATACACACGCCCGAAACAACATCCATCATCCACATCCAAGGGGGGAAAAGCGGATCCCCGTGGATCCTAGGATTCATCAGAATCCATAGGATCCATGAGGATCCACCAGGATCCATCAGAATCCAATAGGATCCATCGGTATAGGTTAATGTTCTGAATATTCACAAAACCCAAGAAAATTAACGAGACTCATAAAAGAAGGATATAAAATCCAAATTATGTTCTTGATGAATCAATGTGATCTTCAGGTGCTATTTTTGCAACTCTGAATAGTCTATTTACAAAGAAAAGAGAGTGAATTCTGATGTATTCCAGGATGTACTGGAATTCATGTGGATCGATTAGAATCCTTGGCTACTAAGTAAAAAGACAGAAAATCAGTCGTGAAATTTCTGTCAAGGAAGAGAAAGGAAATCCTGGAGATTGAATCTCAGATGAGTAACGATGAATTTCGATATATCTTGATGGATCCTGTGGCTTATGCGATCTAATAGGTTCCCTCAATATTAAGGTTTTCCATATTTATTTCATATTATTATGAAACCAGGTGGTTTCTGCTGAACTCTTGTGAACCTCAATAGACTCTAATGAATAATGATGAATTTTCGTTATGGAAAATATCTGATGTTTTGGAACAGTTCTTTGACATATTTGA